ATGCCTCCTACTCATAAATTACAATTTCAATGTGTATTTCTTTCTCTTTATAGGCTTCCCCTAGAAGAAAATGATTTTATGGAAAGAACATAGAATTGAAAATTAGGGAGAAGTAGATTCTAGACTAGAACTAATAACTAACTAGCTGGATGACATTGGGTAAGTTATTAAGGTGATCTCTTTTTTTTTTTCAAATATTGTATTTCTTTCCAATTACATGTAAAAACTATTCTAACATTTTTTTTATTTTGATTTCAAATTCTCTGTTTCTCCTTTCTCCCCTCAATGAGAAGGCCAGCAATTTGATATAAGTCATACATGTACAGTCTTGCAAAACATATTTCCATATTAGCCATATAATGAAAGAAAATGCAAACCAAAAAAAAAAGTTAAAAAATATACTTCACACACTATTTGTGCTCTCTCTCTCTCTCTCTCTCTCTCTCTCTTTTGGCATTTTGTTTTGTTTCTCCTTTCTCATGGTTCCTCCCATTGGTTCTAATTCTTCTTTACAACATGACTAATGTGAAAATATGTTTAACAGGAATGTACATGTAGAGCCTATATCAGATTACACACCATCTTGAAGAAGGGAGAGGAGAGGGAGGGGGGAATTTAAAACTCAAAATCTTATAGAAGTGGATGTTGAAAACTAAAAATAAATTTCATAATTTAAAAATATGCTTCAATCTGCATTCAGACTCCATCAGTTCTTTCTATGGAAATGGATAGCATTTTTCATCATAAGTCCTTCAGAATTGTCTTGGATTATTGTATTGCTGAAAATAGCTAAGTCATTTATAGTTGATCTTCATTAAAATATTGTTACTGTTTATGATGTTCTCCTTGTTCTGCTCACTTCACTTTGCATCAATTCATGTAAGTCTTTCCAGATTTTTCTAAAAGCATTCTGCTTTCTTATAGCATAATAGTATTTCACCACAATCATATACCCCAACTTGTTCAATCATTCCCCAATTGATCGGCATCTCCTCAATTTCCAATTCTTCGCCAGCACAAAAAGAACTGTTCTAAACATTTTTGTACATATATATCCTTTTCCTTTTTTTTATCTCTTTGGGATATAGATCTAGTGGTATTACTAGGTCAAAGGGTATGTACAGTTTTATAACTCTTTGGGCATAGTTCCAAATTGGTCTCCAGAATGGTTGAATCAGTTCACAATTCTACCAACAATGCATCGGTATCCCAATTTTCCCACTTTCCCTCCAATATTTGTCATTTTTCTTTTCTGTCATATTAACTGATCTGATAAGTGTGAGAAGGTACCTCAGAGTTGTTTTCATAATTTGCATTTCTCTAATCAATAGTGATTTAGAGCATTTTTTCATATGACTATAGATAGCTTTGATATTGTCATCTGAAAACTGCCTGTTCATATCCTTTGATGTAAGGTGATCTCTTAGATCCTTTCCAGGTATAAAATTCTAATATTCTACTTTGTGAAAGTTCTACTTCTGGAATACAGAGAAGCATGGGAAGACATATGAACAGATGCAAAGTGAAGTAAGCAAATCCAGAAAAACAACATACTAAATGATTACAACGATGTAAATGAAAAACATTTTTTAATGAAACTAAAAATTATATAATATAATGATAAAGCTTGGCCACCCAAAAGGGTATACTTTTATCTCTTCTTTGGAGAAGTAGAGTATTATGGGTATGGACTATTGAATATACTATCAGACTGAGTGTTAAAGTATTGGTTAGTTTTACTGAATTAACTTCTCTCTGTGTCTCTCCTTTCTTTGTTAGAAGGGATGGCTCTCTGGGGAGGAAAGGAAGAAATAATATATTTGGGAATGAAGTGAAGGTAAGGTAAAAACAAAAGAGAGATCAGTGATTTATTTTATCATATTTTTTGGGGGGGGGTCTAGGCAATGGGGTTAAGTGACTTGCCCAAGTTCACACAGCTAGTAAGTGTTAAGTGTCTGAGGCTAGATGTGAATTCAGGTGTTCTAGACTTCAGGGCAGGTGTTCTATCCACTGCACCACCTAGCTGCCCCATCAGCGATTTTTTTAAAAGAATAAAATGCTCTTCTGCTTCTTTCTACCTTTGCATATCTTGACCTTTGATTATCAGTAATTGGTAAGAGTGCCTCTATATTTATTGTTCTTTTCAAAGCACTTCCACTTTCATGATTCCATTTGATCCCAAGAATGTTTTTGAAGTAGGACAGGTATTAGCACCCCCATTTAACAAATTAAGGAGTTTACACTCTGGTAGTGGCATAGGCATTAAGCATAACTATAATAGATTATTCAATATTACACAAATACATAGCATGATACAAAACTGGAAACAAAATGGGTGTCTATCAATTGGAGTATGGCTGAAGTGTGTGTGTATATGTATGTGATGGAATAGTATTCTTTCATTTTAAAAAGTCAGAAAAATGAGAAACTCAGAGAAACATGAGAAAACTTGTGTGAACTGATGCAGAAGGAAGAGAACAGATCAATATACACATCTACAATAATATAAATAAAACAACATTAAAAGAAATCAGAAATAAGATGAAATATAATGAGGAATCTTGATATGAGAGGATAGATGATGTAAATATAGTACAGTGTAAAGGCTTCTATGTTTGGAGTCAGACTTGGATTCAAATCGTGATTCTGCCATTTATTCTGCCTGTATGACCTTGGACAAGTTATGTAACCTCTCTGAGCCTCAGTTTCCTCATCTGTAAAATTAAATGATTGGACTAGATGACCTTGAAGATCCCTTCCAGCTCTAAATTTATGTCTCCCTTGAAGCACATCTCTCTCCTCTCAGCAGAGAGATAATAGACAAAATGTAAATGCATTGTTAGATGGAATCTCTGGGTCAGCTGGTTTTGATTTGTTAAAATAGTTAACATATATAATAGTTAAAATAGAGTTCTGAGAGACAGTATACATAAGGAATAGAGGATTTAGATGTAGGTTCTGGCCCTGACACGTACTAGCTGTGTGACCATGAGCAAGTACATCCATGCAACTCTGGAAGACTGGAAGTTATGGAGCCCTTGCTAGTCTACCTTGATGGAAGTAGTGTCCACACTAGAGATTTTCAACACTGATAAAATCAGGGGTCTGAACTTCTCTCTTCCCCTCCCATACCCACCCCAAGAAAAAAGATGAGGAAGGGGGGGGTAAGGAGGGCAGCAGTGTTGACTAGAAAGTGACAGTGAGTGGCATAAAAAATTAAATAAAATATGTGCATGAGTTTAAAAAAATAGTAAAGTGCTAGGTGAGAACAAAATCCAATACTAAGTCTGGAGAGATGGAGAAGAGGTCAAGAAAGGCTTTCTGGTGTTTGAATTGGGTTTTTTAAAGGATAGGTAAAATTTCGTCTGGCAGAAAACGAAAAGGGAGGACTGTCCAGACTCTCTCAACCTGTGCAAAGTCTGCGAGGCATAAGCACTTGCCTGTCATTGATAGACGGATAGATAAAAAACAGTAAGTAACCTAGAATTTCCACCTGTGTATAGAAATGTGGCTCACTTAAAAGCCATGGCTGAACAATCTTCTCCCCTCCCCCCTCCCCCCCCTTTTTTTAGCATCCCTCTGCCCCCCGCGCTTCGCACAGTGCCTATCCCTTAGCGGGCCCTTTTAACCCTTCTTGACTTGACTTCCCCCCCCCCCATGAAAGGGTACACTACACTAAACTCTTTTGCTTTTAACAATTATCATCGAGTCGCAACCTTTATTTATTCACAGCAGTGGTGTGTCCTCTCCAGGTCTGAGGCGCAACTTACCTACCTTAAGGTCAAAGGATAAGACCACAGATTGAGAGTTGGAAGGGCCCCCGAGGTCACCCAATTCAACTTTCTCATTTGACAGAAAGTGAAGCCCAAAGAGATTAAAACATCTTGTGTTAGAAAAGTTCTGTTTTAATCCCCAACAGAAGACCTAGCAGGGAAAGTTATAGGAGGGATTTCAGAGGTAAAAGTACCCAAAGAACCAAGAGAAACTTAGGAAGTACTTAGGGAACCAAGATCTCAGTATTTCGGGCTGGGGAGATACTTTCCTTTGTGTATATAACTGGGAGAACAGGTCAAAAGCGGAGGTGTTTACTTTTCTGAAGACAAAACTAGAAACCTTGAAAAGCAAGCCACCGTGAATGAGACCGGACGTCACCTCTCCTGAAGCCTGGTCTCCCCACAGTGTTTTCAGAAATTGAAAGTTTCAGGAGCACAGCTATCTCGGGGAAGGGGATGGGAGTGGGGAAGAGGAGAAATAGCAGTAGCCAAAGATGGTCTTTATTCAAAGCACCCCCACCTCCACACTCACACCCCTGATGCACATCACTGATTTGATCTCCTGTCATTGGATCTTAACCCTGAATGAAGAGGCCCAGAGTAAGTCTGAGCCACAATTTTGTTAAAAGACCACGCAGTTTCCCAGATGCCTGCTTCGGTCCCGGCTTTTCAAATGACTTCGTCATTTATTGGCCGCCCCTTGAGTTAATCACTCGCAGTTTACTTGAGCCCCGCCCACCTCTAGCCTCTGTTAAACTGGATCTTTTTCAGCTGTCACAGCCGGCAACTCCAGGCTGTTCTTAGAAATCACTTGACTGAGCTCAGAGGGGCTGTGTCCGGATTTTGTGAAGCTAGCTGCTTGGTGCTGTCGATTCGTTTGTTTAAGATAACGTTATTTTTTAAAATCGATTTGCTTTGGTTTTCTCAGGTATATGCCCAGTGGGGCAGGAGAAAGCCAGAGAAAAAGCGCAGATTTCGTGTACAGGTGGAAACAGGTTCTGTGGGAGATTTTAAACTACAGAAATGAAACTTCGGCTTGTTTTTGATTGAAAGAATGACTCTCTGTGCTCCAAAGAGCTAAAGTAAACTGTTGCTTTTTGGGGTTTTTTTTTTTTTTCCCTATAGGTAGGTGGAATATATATGTATAGAGGTTGATTTAAAAAAAAAATAGAAAAACTGGAAACTTTCTGCTGAGGAAGTAAATATTTTCTGCATATGCAGGTTCGCCACATGTTAATATCAGCCTTGGCTCTGTACTTCTGGTGAAGAACAGAATATTTATTGGTGACTGTCCTAGGAAAGGAGATGTCCCAGGAAATGCCTCAAACCACGAGCCAAATGATCAATACCACATGTGCTTTGCATGGAAAAAGCAACAACGCCCAGTTGGGCAGTTCCTGTGAGTGCGACTTGAAAAGGAAGGCAGGCCACTATCAAGGTAAGTTTTGGAGACAATACCAACATTGATTTTATGGTGACCTACCAGCCTCTGGCAATCCCAGGTCAGCATAAGGTGAATATCATGAGGGGAAGGAAAGCTCTTGTCTTTTAAATATGCCTAATTTTTGAACTATGAAAATGTGAAGATGGGTGGGGCATCAAGAAGAACTAATGTGCATTAAATGCTCACTTTTTAAGAGGCCAAGTGAAAGATCATTAAGAACTCAAACTCCTTGTGGTTGCAGTTTTTGTTCTTAAATCCCTCAACAAATTGAAATTTCTGTACTTGAAATGACAGCCAATGTCAGTTATCTGGGTGGAGGGGTGAGTAGCAGGGAAATAACATAGTTTGTGTAATTCTAAAAATTTCATGGGATAAAATCTGACTATTGGAATCAATGTGGGTCAGATTAATCCCACATCAGCATGTCATGCCAGTTAGTGACTAGCAGCCATGTCCTACTACTTAGGGTATAATCTGAGCTTTAGGCTTGCTGCCTGGTTTATTCATTACATGGGGAAACAAAAATGGTTTTTACCGTTTCTTTTTTTTTATGGTCTAAGAGCAGGTAGAAACAGGAAAGTACAAGATGGTCTGTTATAGGTCCACTGGACAGCAGTGTAAAGATGAGGAAACATCCCCAGAACACTTCATAATTTGTCTAAGTGACATAGAGGTGGTCATAGCCTGAGTCTTCAAGCATAGGTCTTCTGACAAAATCCCACACTTTATCCATGGCACCACAAAGTGGCTGAAATGAATAGATTCAATTCAACAAATATTTGTCAAGTAATTACCTAGTGCAGAGTATTGTGCTAGGTACTAGGGGACATATAAAAATTCTATAATATAATGTCCCTGCCTTCACAGAGCTTGTTGTGTGGTAGGAAAATGAGCTACATATGTATATGACACAAAATATTGTATGACATAATGTAATATGTGATACAAAATAATACATATGGGCTTTAGAAAACTTAAATATTTTGTGAGATCAAAGCTGGGGAAAATCCAGGACTATCTGGGAGATGACAGAAGGCTTCCTAGTGGAAGTAACATTTGGTTAGGGTGGTAATGCGTGGGTAAGATTAAAACAGGGAAAGAAGACACTGTACAGGCATAGAGAATAAGGTGAGAAAAGACATACAGGTGAAAGAGTAGGGTGTACTCTGGGGATGAATAATTTAACTGAAGCATAGAATGCATGGCAGGGATAGAATGATATCAGAATGGAAAGGATGTTTCCAAATGGTGGAGGGACTTGACTGTCAGGCAAAGAAGTCTGAACTTGACTGGGTTAGCAATAGGGAAATACTGAAGTTTTTTGAACTATGGAAAGACATATCCAGATCTGTGCATAAGGATGACTAGTCTAGTAGCTATATGAAAGCTGGATTCAATTAGAGGGGCTTAAAATTAGGTACCAAAGAACATTTTATGAGGATGAAATCATCTCCCAAATGTCAGGGTTGTGCTCCAAATATTCCTAAATTCCTCTTAATTATTTTGTATTATCTGCAAATGGATATAAGAAGCATAGATTAACTGTGTTATAGGCTTTCTTTCATTTTCTCTTTCTTCCTTTCTCTTTTTTTATTTACTTCCTTATCTTCCTGAATTGCTTCTTTCTGCACTTTGAGGGGAGGGGGAATGGTGTCATATAGACACATTCTTAGTTTTTGATAAACTTTGAGCAGAATAGGCTTGAGAGTGTAATTGTTTCAATTACCAGAAGGGTTGCATGTTGACATCTGTGCTATTTACGTTATGTATATCAGGCCCCTTTGCCTGATCCACAGGCACAGGTGTCTAGAGGGCCAGTACCATGATGTGCAGCCAGGTGGCATAACGTGCTGGATTTAGAGTCAGGATGACGTGAGTTCAAATCCTGCCTTGGACACTTACTAGCTGTATGACCCTGGGCAAGTCACTTCACTTCTCTCAGCCTCAGTTTCCCTGTCTACATAATGGCAATAAAAATAGCATTTACCTTACAAGATTGTTGTAAGGATCAAACGAGCTTTGTAAAGTGCTTTGGAAATCGTAAAGTGCCATAAAAATGGTAGCTGTTATTGTTATTTTTTATATTACCAACTGTCACTGTGGGTGCTAATCTAATACACATTAAATAAAAGTAAAAATGTAATACTTTACAATATCAGCAGCACCAAACTGTTTGAAGAAATTAAAGTGACTTTAAACCAGCTACACCAGAATATGTCCTGACATGTGCTATAATTTCAGCAAGAAAAATCCATCTCCTGTGGAAATCCTCCTCCTGTAGAATTAAGTTGGTAGTTTTAGAATGACCTAATAGCCACTCCTAAACCCAATGCTGGCCATGACCATTATAGACTGGAGCCAAACTTATGGTGACCCACTTCTCAAAATATCCACAAAACTCAGTCATTTGGAAGAAATGTTTTCTTTTCTGTGGTCTTTACTAGAACTTTGCAACAACCACCACTAACTTCTGCAACTGAGCCTCAGAATACCTGTCCTTTTCAACCACAATACCTCAAAGTCTCAGGTACAACAAAATAAGCAGAAAAAAACATCACACCCAGAATTCCAGAGTGTATTGCAGACCCACCATAAGGGGTAGGGGGTATCACTTGGAAGAATGGAATGACCAGTGAGATTGAGTAAACCATTTGTTATGCTGATAAGTTACATTCCAGTCCCTGACCTAAAGTTCATAGGGGATCACTTCCCACCATAGCTTTGGTTTTTCCTTAAGGCTGGAATTTTAGGTCGCTAATCTGCAAAGTTCAGCAAGTCTTCACGGAATGTCCAGTCATTAGTGCCTGATAGTGCTGACATATTTTGGGGAAAATGGTGTCTGGCCTGCCCTACTTAAACTAAATCTTTCTCCTTTAGCTAGCATAGAGGCTATAATTTCATTGATCTTCATTTCTCAAAGAACATGTCTGGAACAACCATATATGCATAATACATACATATATATACATATTTTTCCTTGGCATTCCATACAATGTGGCAAATTGCTTTAGATAAATGATATGGTTATAATTCTCTATTTCCTCACACATATTTTTGGACTGTTTGACTGTGTAACATAGATCACAGATTTAGAGTTAGATGAGTTTTTTTTTTGTTTTTTTTTTTTAGAAATCATATAATTCCATGCCTACCTTTTACTGAGGAAACTGAAATTCTGACAGGGACAAATAGCAGTGTTGGGATTCAAACCCAGGTCTTTTGACTCCAGATCCAGCATTTTCTACCATACCATATTTTTAGTAATAGAGGCCATAGAAACCCCTCCCTCATGATTGAAATGAATTCACTATCATTTCCTCCTCTCCAAGTCTTTTTTTTTTCTTCAGGTTTAGTGTGGATATCATTTACTTTGAGAAGCTACCCCTATGCCCAAGTTAAGTCTGTCTCTCTCCTCAAACTAACTGGTATTTACTTACACGATTATGGTTCGCACCTCTACCCCTAGAATGTATGCTTCTTGAGGAGACTGTGTTTTTGTCTTTGAATTCGTAGAACAGTGCCTTACACTTAATACAGCAGGTGCTTAATAAGTGTTTTGGATTGGGGGGAAAATGTGCCTTAGAGACAGAAACCATATAAGATGACCACTCAGGTCTCTATTGCTAACTTTTAGCTTCGTGTAAGTACTTCCTTGCAGGTATTAAAATAGTCTCTGGTTGCTCTTCCATAGGTCCCATGACTACAGCTTCAGACTTTGTAAAAATAAAAGCAACCTCCTACCCCGCCATGTGCTGAGCACTTGGCTCTGCTCACCAGTGTCATGATTGCTGATGTTTTAAACAGACTCAAAAGCCAAACTCACAGCAATTTGTGTATTCCCACCTAATTTTCTTTGGTGGTCCAATTCCTGGTCTAACTTTGCTCTTTATGTCCAGATGGTTACCCACAAGGCCAACAGAGCCAAATTCATCCTCCTGCTCCAAAGGACTTTCTCACCCTAATTTGTTGACTATTAGATCATAGCTTAAGAGATCTCCATTGTCTAGTGCAACCTCCTCATTTTATATTTGAGGAGACTGAGGCCCAAAAAGGTTAAGGTAGCACACATAACAAGTAGTAGAGCTGGATTTGAACTCTATTCTTCTGACTCCAAATCTAGCTCACTTTTCCATTGTATAATGCTGCCTCTTGAGAAAGTTGACATCAGGTACTAAGACAAAAATGTAAAACAAAGAAAAACCATTCTATTCTCTAATCAATGCTATTCTCTCTGGCTTTCCCTGCATTCCTAATCTAAGTTCTGGTTTTGGTCACATTCAGACTTTGGCAGGTTCTAAGCTAGACTCTTACATTATAAATATAAATAGGTTAAGAGAGTGAAACTTTAGTGCAAGCCCATACTGCTGTTAAATTCATTCGGAAGTTAAGTGATAGAACACAGAATACATTTTTACTGTCTCAAGAACAGAGACTGCTATTTCTCTTATATTTTTCCACAAGGTTTCAGTAATTTGGGGCAGCAATGTTTCCAAGCCACATGAATAAAATTTATTTAAGACAGCTAAAGAACTTAAGTATTAGGGAATGCAGAAAGATCTATCCAGGAGCAGCATTTGAATCCAAGAGGTTTTGGACAAGTAAATAATACATATTTTTATATGGAACTTACAAGAAATTTTATATGGTTTGTGATCCTCAAAGTAGATGCTAATAGCCTACCACTTTCACAGGATATTGTAGTATTGTAGTGCCTTGATGTGGATTCTAAAATTGAGATAATAGTATATGCAGCATAACATTTGGATGACTGATGCTTCTACATATGCCCTTTCCTATTCCTACCACCACCACCACTACTTGTTAATGCTTCTCCCACAAAATTATCTTGTATCTCTTCTATTTGTCTTCCCCTATAGAATGGTAGCTACTAGAGCCTAACAGAGGGCCTAACACCCTCTAATAAATGTTCATTGGTTGACTGTGATACTCTTTAGATGATGGATTGTCTTCTGATGAAAGTAGGATGAGTGTGA